GGTTTAGACACAAAGGGGCACACCACTATTAAATATAGAAATTTCAAAAACTTTAATTCGGAAAATTTTAGACAAGATATCAGTTTACAGAATTGGGATCTTATAGAAGAGTTTGAAAATCCGAACCAAATGTGGAAAGCCTGGAAAAGCTCTTTTGACTGTGTAGTCGATTGGCACGCTCCGTTGTGTTCGAGATGTGTCAGATCCACTAAATCGCCTTGGATCACGCCTCAGGTTTAGATAAAGTTTCTGCCAAACTCCCATCTCCAAACTCCTTCGTTTTTGCCCTGATTTGATAGCAGAATCCCTATGCAACATTTTCAATCGCTCTATCAAAACAGGTATTTTTCCTGATGAATGGAAGTGTTCAAAAGTAATACCTTTGTTCACACTTGAGCGCAAGGACCTTAACAACTATCGTCCTATCTCAATCATCCCGTTTGTTGGAAAGGTTTTTGAGAGAATTGTATATGATCAGGTCTACGCTTTTCTTACAGTCAATGATCTGCTGTCTCATTATCAATCATGATTTCGATCCTTACATTCCACGGTGATACACGGTGATAGCGCTTTTAGAGACTACCAATGACTGGGCATTCAATATTGATCGCGGCAATGTCAACGCCGTAGTTTTTAGACCTCAAGAAGGCTTTCGACACTGTGGGCCATGGGATTCTGCTATCAAAACTGAATACATTGCCGGATTTCAAACCGTTAGAGACTGGGTAATAAGCCGGACAAAAATCCAAGATGGCGTCGTTGTAAACACAGAGACATGTAGAACTTTCCGAAAAAATGGTTTGGCATTGGACTTGTGCTAGCGCTCTTTGCGAAAATAACTGGCAAACAAAGGGTATAAGTTACTACCAATTGCCTGTTGACCTAAAATTAAKGAAAATATATTCTGCGATACTGAAAAACGATAATATTAAGTGGAGAAAGCAGGTTATCTGTTCCGCCCATTGGACTGAGGGTATAACACGATCTTTAGATCATATTCCTGACCTCATCTGTTCGAATRAACAACTGGAAAAGTTTGAGAAGTAATGTTTAAAGCCCGACAATGAGGACTTGAAATCCAATCCAGTCCGAATTGGAGGACTTTGAACGACTTCTCATACTCATTAATTATTCGGGAGGGGAAAAAAGAGAAGGAAATACATACAACAGAAATATATTGATTTATTGMATCTCCACTAAGGCTTTCAGTTTTCATAATTTTGAATACATGAAGCACCGTATGTTGTTCTTCCATTCCTGGACGGCTTTCTGAAACAAAAGCTATTCAAATTGTCTTTGTCTGCTATTCATGGCATTCCTAATGAGCCTAATCCATAAGATTTATAAGTATGTTATCTTCCGAGGAATCGCATCAGAAACTCGGTGGTGTAATGGTATAAGACGGCGCATATAGACTGGACGGTAGGGGATCGAGTCGTGAGGGAGTCATGTATCAAAGACCTTTTTTCACTAAATTAATGTTAAACTGATTATTTCTAATAATTTGATTATCATTAGCTAGTAGTAGTTGGAAACATGGTAGAAGTAACTGGAAATAAGGTAGAAATAGCTGGAAATAATGTAGAAGTAACTTGAAAAAGGTAGAAGTAACTGGAAATAAGGTAGAATACAAGGTACGAGTACTTCCTCTGGTTTCAAGTTACTTCACGTGGTACAAATTACAATCAGGGATTGGCTGAATACCTCATGAATAATTAATGAGTTTTTGAAT